TTCTCTCTTGTTCTCTGGGAATCTCTGGCCTGCTTGAGCCTAGGTATAGTGGGTACTTGAGCTTCCAGGCAGTTCTGATCAATGCCCCACCCCCATCCCGAAAGACCCGCCATTGCATCTGGATAGGTAAGTGAGGAGAGGAGAGAAGCTTGAGTAGGCCAACTGAAGTAACAGATGCCCAAATTTCAGCGGCTTTGTGTAGTAGAAGTTCATTTCCAACTCACTTAACAGTTCTGGAAAGATGTTCACGTCAGCGAGGCATCTCTCCTTCTCAGGATTACCAGGCTACTTCCATCTGGTGGCTCCACCATCCCCTAGGGCACCGCTGGAGTCCACATTCAGTGGGCTGAAGGAGAAAGCAAGATGGATTCACTCCAAAGGCTTCAAGAGCCAGGCCCGAAAATAGCGCACACAACTCCTGCTCACACTGTTAGAGACAACACAGCCACACAGAGGAGCAGGCTGCCTTCTCAGGAGGCAGATGCTAACACGAAGTTTGGGGGCACATAAAGTGTATTGGGGATCAATACTTCTGAATGGAAAGGGAGAAGAAATGGAATTGGGCAGAAGGAGAAGTCAAGCCATGACACAGTCCTGACAAATCAACGGCCAACCCAGTGGGGACCTCTACAGTGGATGTTACCCATCGGCGGTGTCTTTTATTGGGCCAAAATAGCCGTGCCTCATGTGGTCCCCAGAGGTAGGAGGTTCCTGGAAGGGTGTGACGTTGGGCAAAGTGGATGAGGCTCTGTAGCTGAGGCCGACCCTGATGGAGGTGACGGCAGGAGACTGTCTATTGACTGCACTTGCTGGAGCAAGGCCCATCTGGAGGCACACCTGCACGTCTACCATACACAGCCACACATCATCGCGAAGGAGTCGGAATAATTGGTCCAGCTGTGTATCTAAGAGGAGGGGAAAGAGATTTGAGTGACAGCTAGCAGTCAGGCAGGATCTTGGGTCATATTCTCCAAAATGATTTGACAAAAGAGCCCTGTTCTTGGGAGTTGAATGTCCTAGAAGACAGTTTGCTCTTCAGTTAGCCTTTTGTTGACTCCATCTATTAGAACCCTGCACGCAGCAGGGGTGATGGATGCCAGGTACCTACCCCTAGCAACACTGCCTATGAAGTGCCTAGACAGAAGGTGCCTGATAAACGTGGCTTCTGTCTCCAGATTTTGTTGCTGAATTGGGCTTCTTTGAGAGTATGAACAGCCCCAACCAGAGCCCACCTAATCAGTGCTCAGGGATTTATTAAGTAAAAGTTACACAACTGCCCTTGTTTATTATGCATTGACCTCTGAGGTGCCGAGAGCCTACGATCACTTTCCTGGTCCAAGAGAGAAACCTGGAGATCTAGGAATAAATCCCCCACTTTGTACCAAGTAACCTACTTTTCTTTCTCAACTGTCACCTCTGAGGTTCCAGTGGTCAAAGGAAAAGTTGGGAAGCTCTCTGTGCACATCACAGCTAAGGATGCAGCTGCCAAGCTCTCCCTGCTCTGACCCTTCAAAGGAAGGCATTGGGAAATTCAAACCAAACACAAATCGTGGCCACCCAGGGAGACTGACCAAGATTGGGGTACCAGTCTCTTCCTGAGACTGGGGCATGAACATCTTTGGGGGCCAGTATTTTGCCTACCACAGAAAGTTTTTTATTATCTGAATCATTGAATTGAAGACAAAATGGACATCATAATAAGGAATGGTCAGAAGAGCATACTGAGTCTTTCCCATGTATTCACTGATTTTCTACAACAGTACAACTCTCATTCCTGTGATTTTTAAAATCTAAATGCTATTTAAAGTATTTGAAAACAATTTCAGATGTTCTGCTCCTCCCAATACAGAAATAATATTTCAAATGAAAGAACAGCTTTAATATGCATCATGGTTTCTTTCCTTTTCTAGATTTCCCAATGCATTAAGACATCTTATTAAAAGGAATAAAATAGATCGCATGAACAGACATGGACAAAATCCAAAATACACAGTTAAGTATAAAAATCAACCTGAAAATCAGCATGTGTAGTGTGATCTCATCTTCATAAAATAATATATTTTTATGTTTGTTTTTACAGAGAAAATACCCACAAGAATATAAGTCAAACTGTTAACCACATTATCCCGGGGGCTGAGGAAGCAAGGGGAAGGCAGCAGTAGGCTTCCTGAGCCATCATGCCTGCAATGTAATATATAGAATAAGCTCATATATTTTTTATAACCAGGAAAATATTAGGACAGTGCTTCTCTGTGTTTAAAGACTAAGGGGATCTTCCAAAATCCCCTTTTTGTTGATGGAGAATAGCATCCACCAGAATTTCAGAATTCTGCCCAACCAATACCAGCCTTAGGGCCTTGCCTCTGAGTGCTTCCTATTAGCTCCTTTCCAGTTCCTCCTTAGAAATGTGCAGCTATGCCACCTGCCATTGCAATCACAGGGAATGTAGGGCAGGTAATTAGTAACCAGACTTTGTTTTGGAAAACACTCAGTACATGTGGGTAAAATAGGTCAGTTCCCATTCCTCGGGGCAGAACCCCTGAGCTTTCAAGAGGGAGGGACCCTGGAGGTCACTGAACACAAGCCCCGTTGTCATACCCTGAGGCCCAAAACTAGGTGACCAGCCAGCAAGCAGCAGAGCTTGGATTCAAGGCAGATGTGTGGGACTCTCAAAGTCACATTCTTCCCACTTGGCTATTCCGTGGTCAACTACTGAATAAGATCCTTCCTGGGATTCCAATCTGGGCTCCTCAGAGTTTGCTGGGCCTAGATGTGCAGTAATGGCCCACTCATGCCTCTCTTTACCTTGGGCTGGGATACCGGGGATCGTGGGAAGCGATGGGAAGCATTTAGCAGTTAGCTCAGAGACGCATGTGTAACAAATGGATCAAAAGTTTGAGGGGCTGAGCTGTTCCCATTGCAAAGCCACATCATCTTTGTTAATGCTGCAGTTTTGACAATTTCTTTGGGAGCCTTGGTTCCCTAAAGTTTTACAACCAGGCCATTCTCTCGACAGAACTGAATGTGATATGATTCATGGACCTCAGAATGGTTCTGGTCAATGAGAACACGGGTGCAGACAAACCACCGAAGTTGTTTACCTCACCCATCTAGCACCAGGTGAGCTGGAAGAGTCACACAAAAAACCTGAGATCCACCCAGAGTCTCAGGATAGGGCATTTGCCCGGGGCTCACAAAGGCCTGGAGTCTGTGCAGAAAGGCAGTCCAGCTGGTAACCAGCCTGGAGGCACCGCCTGGCACTTTCTAATTGTACCCTTTGCCGGTGTTGGTGCAGCCACCGTACTGTCCCCCAACCACGACAGGGCATCCAGCACAGGATGATGGGGAGATAGATGTCACTGAACACAAGCCCGGTTGTCATACCCTGAGGCCCAGAACTAGGTCACCAGCCAGCAAGCAGCAGAGCTTGGATTCGAGGCAGATGTGTGGGCAGCACAGTATTGCTTCTGCGTGACACCCCCAGGGACCAGAAAAAAAAAACAACAGGCTTTCACTATCTGTGAACAAAGTCTGTCCCCAGGAAGTCACCAAGCTTTTTCTCCAACGAACTCGAATCCCAGTGACACCATATGGATCCAGCCACTGCACTGCTTCATTCTCTTGAAAGCTGGAAGCACGTGCTTTCTTCTACAGGGGTGAAATGAATAAGAACTAGAGCACCTATTCAGATTCAGCCTCCTTTCACAGCCAGAGCATCTCCTCCAGAGCTGTCTAGAGTTTTGCTCTCCTCAGTTCCACCTTTCAAGGACACAACGATGGGGGAAACAATCAGATCATCTCTGTACCAAAGGGCTGGTCCTTCCATCCCACCCAAGAGCACAGAGAAGGCCTTGGAAAAGGAGGCCCCCCACTACCCTACTGGCTAAAAAGCCAGTGTTTGATAAATGAGGAGACAGTCTCCACCCAGGTCTTCCACCCAAAATCCTATTTGCGATGGCAGCGTTGGAGTGTTGGGAGGATACAAGACCAGGTCTGGGACTTCAGGAGGTGTTATTTTCCAATGGAATGATTTTGTTCCTTCTGAGCTTCTATATGCAAATACAAGGGGACTATGGAGAAGTCATTTCTGTGCCACTGAAAGTTGATGTTTAAGGCTTTCTCTTTCTTGCCTCTCTTACTGTGGCCAGTATCACAGGCTGGCTTCGAGGAAGGATGGAACCCATAGAACCAGAGACCTACTAGGCTGTCAGAACTCAGGGACCACCCAGGAGGGAACATTCACACCACCAGAAACTTCGTAAGCAAAATTGCAAAGGAGATGGATGATCTTAGGGCAAATAAAGCCCATAAAGATCTGGTCACCTTTTCAGGAAAGTAACTGCTTTTGCTGCACCAGATTTTCCATTTAGCTATCCAGGATATGCGAGAAAACACAAAAAGGCAAGTGGCTCCCTGGATCCCCAGCCACCTTGCCAGCCTTCCCCTCCTCTCCAGCCCTGGAGTGGGATGAAGCATCACAGCTTTCCCTTCCCTTCCCTTCCCAAGGCTTGAAGATGACCTGGTCTAGGGGAGTGGACTACGAAGGGGAACTAAACTAATCCAGGGCCCTGAGTAGGTGCAGAGAAGGGTGTGTAGAAGAGAAGCGGGAGCCTGGGGAACACTGCTTGGCTGACTCACCTGAGGCATCCCGTGCACTTGCAGACAGGCCCCATGCTGATGGAGCTGCCCTCAAACGAGGCCTCTAGACAAAGAGCCTTTCATTCCTTTCTGTAGTGTGAGTTTTCTTTTTTCTTTTCTTTCTTTTTTTTTTTTTTCTTTTTTGAGATGGAGTTTTGCTCTTGTTGCCCAGGCTGGAGTGCAATGGTATGATCTTGGCTCACTGCAACCTCCGCCTCCCGGGTTCAAGCGATTCTCCTGGCTCAGCCTCCCAAGTAGCTGGGATTATAGGCACGGGCCACCACGCCTGGCTGATTTTTGTATTTTTAGTAGACGGGGTTTCACCATGTTGGCCAGGCTGGTCTCAAACTCCTGACCTCAGGTGATCTGCCCACCTCAGCCTTCCAAAGTGCTGAGATTACAGGCGTGAGCCACTGCACCTGGCTGAACTTTCTAATACATCACTGTGAGCCTACAGTAGAGAACTGAGTGAATTTTCCCGTGATTTTTGTGTGGGCGTGCACTATCCACAGAGGGAGAAGAGAGAGGAAGATTGCTCAGCCCTCACGTCAGTTGTATGGATGGCACAGGCAGGAAGAAAGTCTTTCCAGGATCAGCTAAGCACAGAAAGCAGGTGCTTAGAGGAGCTGCTTCACTGAAATGAGGATGAGAGTTTCAGGGCTCCTACCACCCAGCTTCTCACTTCTCTCATGGCCTCTTTGCAGAACTTCAGAGCTTCTAGAGCCCTAATAAGTAGAAGAAGTCCTCCATCTAATCCAGCTCCTCAGTGTGAGGCTGCATGAAGAGCCTAAGGGGAGGAGAGCATGACCTGCCCCATCACACACCTGGCGAGGGCCTCACTAGGCTCCACCTTGTTTCCCCAGGAAGCTTGACCTTTACAAAGCTGCTCTTCCTCTTTTCAAGATCTCTTGGAGCCATGTCAACTTGCAACAGCTTGGCCTGCAGTTGTATCATTACTGGCCCCAGACAGTTTGCCAGACAGCTTTGTAGCCCTGGCTCCCCAGTGTGGGGTGGCCAGCGCTGCATCACGTGATTAGGATGGCCTCTGCCTTTTCTTTCTCCATGATCTACCTTCTGCCTCTGCTCAGTATGCCTGAAGCCTCCAGCCAAGCCGCTGCACAGCACTGAGGAAAAACCATGTGGACAGAGGAGTGACAATGGGGTGAAGCCACGGTCTTCCTGGTGTCTCTGAAAGGGCAGTCCAAAGAGAAAAAAGTGTGAGAGTGATGGGTCTCTAGGAAGCCCCTCACACTATGACTTGGTTGGAATCAACTGTTCGAGCCTCTTCCATGTCTTTTCCCTGCACCCCCATCCCTACTACTTTTCCATATTTCTTCCAAAGTATTTGTCCAGGCAGTTAATCCCCAAAGCACTAGAATTCCTACTATCCTCCCTCCAACAGAGAACTTTGTCCCAATTCACTACCCTCTGCCAATAAGATCTCAGGATCCTTCTTGGTAGTCTCAACCCCCAAAAGTCTTCCCAAGAACTCTACAACCAGGTTCTCTACAGTCCAGCTCCGAACCCCACGCAACTTAGCATGTCTTCTCTGCTCCCTTGGCATGGGGACAAAGAAAACACAAAGATGAAATAACCCTAGCCTTACTCTTTCAAAGTTCTCCACCTAGTAGGGAGATAGGATTTATATGCACTGGTTCACATACAGTTCATGACTGTATGCCCTGTAGGAGAAATTAAAAGAGCCACAGAGCCCAAGAAGGGAGCAATCATTTCTAAGTGAAGGCTCAGGAAGGATCAGGAGGGCAGAGGGATGAAGAGCAAAAACTCCTGGGCTAGGCCAAGCAGATTTAAAATGTTCACTTCCTGTGTGTGACTTTGTACTTGTTAATATCTCTGGACCCAGTTTCACCTCTAAAGCAAGGATAACAATACCCACCTGAAACTTACAGGGCCTGAAGACCTAGAGATTGTGTGTTTGGTGCTTGCCTCCTTGTGGCTGCTCAATAGGCATTATTTCCGTGGCGGAGGCAACAGTGTAAACTCTCAGAGGCCAAGGACTACAGCAGGATCTAGGACATGGGCTGTGGAGTCAGAAGATGTAGATTCAAATCTTAGCAAAGTATTTGCCCTTTCTGACCTTCCCTTTCTTCACTTACACAATGGGAATGATAACAGGACCCAACTCAGAGAGCCATTAGGAGGGCTAAATGGAACAAGCTTGTGAGACACTAGCATAGGCCCTGATGTTTATTAAGCACTTAATAAACATTAGCAACTGTCACTGCATGGGAGCTCACACAGCCTGGGCTGACTGGCAGGTGTCACTCACTGGCCAAATCCCAAATGTTCTATGTGGGGTCACAAGATAAGGGTCTCATAGGGACCACAGACAGGACAGCCACAACCACCTGCTCCCTTTCATCGGGAGAACATTCTGCCCAATGTTGCAAAGGCTTTGTGGAAATTTCTGTTTACTGAACTGATTTCAACACCCATCTCCATCCCATGAATTCCAGGCTGTTTGTCTAAAACTTTCTTCCCAATAGACTGTTTACAAGTTCAAGTGATCAATGGTACCATCAGTAGTACACCCACTCCTCAATTCAATCATGCTAAAGACAAGTTAGACTATGACCTTGCCTTAGAGCTGTTAGAGTGACACAATAATAAATCATCTCTGTCCAGTTTACACAGCATCTTTGCCATACACTGTCACACTGGATCCTCACAACAACCTCATGTGACTGATGGGCAAGAGTAAATGGACCTTCAGTGACCACTCTAGGTCTTCTAAATTGGTGTTGCTTAGGGTCAGTGATCTGGAAGGGGAATTGTCTTGATGCGTGGTGTGCATGACAAGCACTCTGCTGTGGGTTGATTTGGGGTTGTTTTAGGGAACTGATAGCTGTCGTGGAGACCACCAGACCTTTCATGTCATCTAACTCAACTTTCTCACTTTACGAATGTTAGAAAATGAGGCCCAAAGAAGGGAAGCAACTTGCCCAAGGTCATTAGATGATCAGTGCAGAGCTGGGAACAGGACTCTGGTCTCTAATTTCCACTTCTGAGATTTTCCCACTAAATCACTACATCACCCAGAACATTTTTGTTTGGTAAGTTTTTAATAAAGTAACCAGCACCCATATCAAGAAACAGAACATCACCCTAGAAGCACCACTATACCTCCTTGCAGATGCTAGACCCCGAAGATAACTACCCATCCTTATGAAACTGAGGTATTTTTCTGTGTTAAGATCTTTATATAAATGGAATCATGTAGTATTAATATTTGTACCTTTTTTTCTCAACACCATGTCTGTGAGATTCTTCCAGTGATCTTGCCTATAATTGTAACTCATAGCTTTTTCATTGTTATATAGTATTTTACTGTCTGAATATAGCACAACATATTTATCCATTCACAGTAAATGGACATTCAGATAATTTCCAGTCTGGTGCTATTACAAAAGTGCTGCTCTGCACATTCTTGTAGGTATCTTTTGGAATTTCTGAGTCATAGGGTGTGCAGATGCTCAGCTTTAGGAGGTAATACCACACTATTTTCAAAAGTTAAACCAATCCATTATCTGTGTGTAAAAGGCCTGCCCCAGCACTATTTTAAGGTGAGGAAAACTGAGGCCCAGTGAGGGCGGGAGACTTGCTCTGGGTCAACACCAAGGAAGGGACAAAGTTGGACAGGTATCCAGGTATCCTGGGCCGGATTTGTGTTCTTTCTCCTGCCCTGTTACTCCAGCCCCATGTATCAGCTCGAGCCTCAAAGCTCAGCTCCAGGTGTGCCCTGCAGACCCTCCTCTCACCCTGCCATATTGTTTATGTGTGTGGCAGTCTCCCTGGTTGCCTGTTTCCCTGGAAAACCAAGGCCCCTTGATGGGGATGAACCCAGCTGTGACAGAGCATACCGAGGCTGCATCTCCTGCTCAGAGGAGACAGGGAAAGTGTTCTGGGACCTGTGGAGTAGGGGTGGGAGGATGTGAAGCACATGGAATTAAGCACCTTCCACTCTACAGTTTCCTTTCATTAGGTGTCTTGTCTTCACAAAATGGTCCCACTTACTTGGTGAGACTTCGCGAAGGTAGGCTACTCGAAGAAGAGTGGCGTTTATGAATCTTTCCTCAGTCTAGGCTTGTGGTGCTATAGAAGGTGCAGGCCGGGTTTCTCATACCTGGGTCAGTGGGGCATATGAAGCGAGTGGGAGTGGACAAAGAATACAGAGGAGGAAACTGCAGCTTTCCGTTCATTGTGAAGGCCTGAGGAAGAATGAAGGGGCAGTTGATTTCCTGCAAAAAGAAGCCAGAACAGCTTAATAATGCTTGTAAGAGCTATCATTTACTGGGCATCTTTTACAACTGACATTATTCTAAAGAGACATTCAAATCACACCTTAAAGATGAAGAAATCAAGGCCCAGAAAGCCTCAGTTCATCAGAGATCATGCCAGGAGTAGAAATAAATATTTTGTTGACCACCCAGTCGGTGTCCAAATTAAATAAAACTGAAAGAGTTCTTTACTGCCAGACTACTTAGAGTCTTTATGACAATCACATGCATTAATTTCTAAGGGGAAACTATCATTTATAAAACTTTTTCCAAACTTTTTACCCTTTTTCCCCAAGGTGCATGTATCAGTCTGTTTTCACGCTGCTGATAAAGATATACCTGAGACTGGGCAACTTACAAAAGAAAGAGGTTTAACGGAGTTACAGTTCCAAGTGGCTGGGGAGGCCTCACAATCATGGTGGAAGGCAAGCAGGAGCAAGTCATCTTACATGGACAGTGGCAGGCAAAGACAGAGCTTGTGTAGGGAAACTCCCATTTTTAAATTCATCAGATCCTGGTCTCACAGATCTTGTGAGACCCACTGGGTTCCTCGCACAACACGTGGGAACTGTGGAGTTACCTTTCAAGAGTAGATTTGGGTGGGGACACAGCCAAACCATATCAGTACATTTATTAAAGTCTTAGTAAATAACACAGGTGGGAAATGTTGGTTTCATCTTGCCTACATATTTGCATTAAAAACATCATTTTCTAAGCCAAAATCAATCATGATTAAGAAGAAAAAGACAAGGACTCTTTCTTGAAAAGAAAAACATAACCCTCCCCACACCCCACAGAGATTCAGAATGAGCCTGGCATTACCTTGACTGCAGGTGATTTAGGTGATTTGAATGTCTCATCCCCCAGTGTCCGACCCGCTGATAGTTAGTTACCCACCTATCAGCAGGTGAAGCTTGAGAGAGTGGGCCAGATTGTATTTTCCAAAGATGGCTACAAAAATATCACCCAACCCACATTCTCTTCTACAATGTGACCTTGCCATGACCTCACTGGGAGGCAGTGTCAATTTCCCTTCCCTTTGAATGTCAGTGGCCCTGGAACTGATTTGACTAACAGAATATAGCAGGAAATGACCGGTGTGACATCTGGGGCTGAGTCATAAAAAGTGACACAGCTTCTATCTTGCTACTGGAACAGTTCCAACCATGTAAGAAGTCCAGCTACCCTGAGGCTGCCATGCTATGAGGAAGCCCAAGCCACACAGAGAGGTCACACGTAGATACTCTCGTCAGCAGTCCTGGTCTTCAAGTCATAGCAGCCTAGAAGCCTCAGGATGATTCCAGCCCCACCTGTCGAGTCACTCAAGCCTCTGAGTCTTCCCAGTTGAAGTCCTGGATGTCATGCAGCAGAGGCATGCCACACCCTTTGTGCCCTAAATTCCTGACCCATAGAATCTATGACCATAATAAAAAAAAGGCTGTCGTTTTAAGCCACTAAGTTTTGGGGTGGTTTGTTAAGCAGCACCATTAACTGGAACAGGGTGTGTGTGTCATATGGGCATGAGTGAGTGTATTTAAATGAAGGGTTTAGGTTGACATTAGTGTTCTTTTTATATCAATGGGTGATTCTTTCTCATGTTTTTTTGATTAGTATATAACCTTTTGATCAGGAACTCATTAATTCAAGAATATATATTAAGATCCAGCTATTTTCATCCAAAGGGACAAAATCCCAATGTGACACCACCTCCATGGAGCTTATATTCTATGTGGACACTTAGTCAAATGCTAGTATCACACAACTGAAAATAATCAACAGGAAGGGGCAGCCGGGGGAGGAAAAAGGCGGAGAAACCCCTGGCAACAAGGAGACAAACGAAGTTCTGGGTGCTTGAAGCCATGGAGACAGTAACTCAAACGGTTTGAAGCCGGAAATGATTTCCTAACCAGCTGTAAATTTGAAAATCCCATATGTGGTACAACATTAAGCTGCTATTTTGGAAATTCTTTCATCTTTTTCAGAGGCATCTCCGGAGCACTTCCTTCCTCTTGGAAGGCAGTCAGCTCTCTGCGGAAATCACTTCATCAGCAGGAGCTGAGGCATTTTGCATGCAACTATATAATTCTGGAACTGTGGCTTAAAAAATATTTTCCCCTGGGTAGAGAAAGAAACATCTAAGATTAGTGTTTCTGTAAGCACCAGCTGGGCAGCTTTGAATGCACTTTTTTTTTCTTTTTCCCCTTTGAAATGGCAGGATCCTGGCACCTGCATTTGAACGTAATGCAGCATTTATTTATTTATGAGATGACGTTTCACTCTGTCACCCAGGCTGGAGTGCAGTGGTGTGGCTCACCACAACCTCCACCCCCCAAGTTCAAGCCATTCTCCTGCGTTAGCCTCCCAAGTAGCTGAGATTACAGGTGCCCACAACCACATCCAGCTAATTTTTGTATTTTTAATAGAGATGGAGTTTCACCATGTTGGCCAGGCTGGTCTCGAACTCCCGACCTCAGGTGATCCACCCTCCTCGGCCTCCCAAAGTACTGAGATTATAGGGGTGAGCCACCACGCCCAGCCTAATGCAGCATTATTGATTTCATTAAAAAGGTGATGACTCCATTTTTGAGTTACTGGGATTTTCTCATTATCATCAGTGTCCATGGCACCAGTGGGCAGTCACAGCATTCTTTTAGATGTTCAATTCCATTTATAATTACTTACTGAGTATTTGTGCCAGATGCTGTATCAGGAGTTGGAGATAGAGTCATAAACAAGACAGTAACAGTCTTATTGAACAGTCTCTCCCTCACAGAGCTGACACACTAGCAGAGGAAGCAGACATTAGACAAAAACTGCAAGTGTTGTAAGTGCTGCACCGGAGAGGAAAGTACAGGGAACGCAGAGAGGTGAGGTATGTTATCCTGAAGCAGACACTTGAAGGGAGAGTGGGAGGTAGCCAGAGGAAAGGAGGGAGGAAAGGGCTGGTGGGAGACAGCACAACCACCAGCCCCTGGTCTGGTCTGGCCATTAGAGACAACCGGGGCCACTGGGGCGAAAGGAAAATCAGCATGGATGGCAAGAGCAAGAGAGAGCCCAGATGAGATGAGGATGCGGAGCAGGCAGGGCTGGACTCAGGCAGAGACTTCCTTGGGAGCACATTGAGGGTTTGGGCTCTTATCTGAAAGACACTCAGGTACCACTGATTTTTTTATTTTTATTTTTATTTTTATTTTTTATTTTTATTTTTTATTTATTTTTATTTTTTATGTGACAGAGTCTCACTCTATCACCCAGGCTGGAGTGCAGTGGCACGATCTCAGCTCACTGCAACCTCCACTTCCCAGGTTCAAACAGTTCTCCTGCCTGAGCCTCCCAAGTACCTGGATTACAGGCACCCGCCACCATGCCCAGCTAACTTTCATATTTTTAGTAGAGATGGGGTTTCACCATGTTAGCCAGGCTGGTCTCAAACTCCTAACCTCAAGTGATCCTCCCTCCTCAACCTCCCAAAGTGCTGGGATTACAGGCGTGAGCCACCACGCCCAGCCCCACTGATGCATTTTTAGCAGGGAAGTGGTGTGATGACATGATCGTCTTGGGAAGAACGCTCTGGCTGGACAGTATGGGCTGAAGAAAGCCAAGCATGGCATCCAGGAGGCAGGTATAAGGCCACTGCAATGGGCCAGGTGAACAACTGTGCTGGCCTGGAATAGGACACTGGCAGAGCAATAGAGGATATAGAAATGGGAGTTTGGGGAAGTGAGGAGCTCTGACTTTAACAAAACACTCTGATGAGTCATTTCACAGCAGTAAGAAGTCGTAGAGCGTCGTGCTGAGGCAGAGTAGTCAGACTTAAGGATCTAGGTTCTTTGCCCAATGATGTAAGACGTTGAAGTTTCCATGGGCAATCCCAGAGGAAGGCAATGAGGAGCACAGGAATGGGGAGACATTGCTGCAAGGGGAAGATGGGGGACCCGACAAGATGACAAGAGGTCAGGGCTCCTAGGTATAGCACAGAGCAGTGAAAAGTCTCAAGTGACAGGGTGTTAGAGGGACATTTAAGAAGCAGGATGTGGCTGGGTGATGGTGGCTCATGCCTTAATTCCAGCACTTTGGGATGCCGAATGGGAGAACTGCTTGAGGCCAGGTGTTTGACACTAGCCTGGGCAACCTAGCGAGACCCCAACTCGTAACATAGTGAGATTCCAGCTCCACACAAAATTTCTTTAAAAATTAGCTGGGCATGGTGACATGAACCTGTAATCCCAGCTACTCTGGAGGCTGAGGCAGGAGGATTGCTTGAGGCCAGGAAATCAAGGCTGCAATGAGTTATGATTGTGCCACTGCATTCCAGCCTGGGTGACAGAGCAAGACACTGTCCCAAATAATAATAATAAAGAACCACAATGTGTTTGTGTGCTGCATGTTGCTATAGTTCAGTGAGTTCTCTGCCCATACCACCCCTGCTTCCAATTTCCCCTAAATGAGAGAGCCCTGTACAAGTAGTGTTTTGAGAAATGAAGGGATATAGGAAAGGAAGGAAGGGAGGGAGGGAGGGAGGGAGGGAGGGAGGAAGGAAGGAAGGAAGGAAGGAAGGAAGGAAGGAAGGAAGGAAGGAAGGAAGGAAGGGGAAGGAAGGAAGGTAAGAAGGAAGGAAGGGAGGGAGAGGGAGGGAGGAGGAGGGAAGGAAGGAAGGAAGGAAGGAAGGAAGGAAGGAAAGGAGGGAGGGAGGGAGGGAAAGAACTCAAAATGTGATTCCTTCGTACCAACCAAATTATTTTTCAGTTAAAAAGCTAACAGTCAAATGGTTTTGAACATGTAAAAAAAGGAAATATTGTTCTCATGAGCCCCCTTGAGGAACATACTGGAGAACTAACTCATGTGAATCACACAGTGAGCACAAAAATTGTATAAAAGGACTGGCAGTGAATTAGTAGATTTCATTTAACCACAGGTCTATGAAGAAAACACATGTGGGGATTAAGCTGACAGAAAAGAAG